TTTTTTTTTTAATTTTAAACTTTTGTGATTCTCACTTCCAACATTTTTGTTGGAAAGATTACCGTTAAATATAGAGTGGTGGCATAGGGGCTGGAAACCATCCTGTTTTGGTTCCGAGGCAGGGTCATTGAACATGACCAATAGTTGCTGTTCTTAAATTAAAATAGAAAGGAAGGTTTTGCCTCCATGCCCCTAGAAGTGTGAGGCTGGGAGGGTTCAAGAATGGTGTGGGTTTTGGTTGTTTATAGTGACAAATAGAAAATTTAGAAGAAATCTGCCATGCCATCTGGGTGTTTTGTATCTGGTAAAGTTAGCTTTTTAAGTGAGTCTGTTTGAGCTGGACCTTCTTAACGGACATAAGTTGTTCTTGGAGCATGACTCTCATTAATCCACCACTCAGTGCTGATTAACGTAACTTCAAAGGAAAACCACTTTTTAGAAGATTAACTTAAAATCGTTTTTCTTGCTAAACATTTAGTAAGCAATGTTTTAAGTGCCTCTTATGGCATTTTATATCTGGAAAGTGCTGTGACAAGGTAACTGCAGTGTTCACTTTGGTTTTTGTTTTATTTTGCTTTGGTTTAGGAGAACCACCCAGTGTTTAAAGAGTTTCCCCTGTGTTGTGTTTTGTGATAACACCCCAACCTTTGTAGCAATCCAGAAGTGTTGTGTTCCTTGGCCTCACTCTCATTTGGAAGTATGGTGATTCCTGGTTAAGAGGTTGGGAATTCCTGGTTTCCGATGCTATAGGAACTCAAGGGTCCCCACAGCGTGGGGGAATTGCCCCTCTATTTCTCTAGGGTTTCTCTTGCTTCCCCCACCCGCCCCGAAAGGCCCTACTACTGGCTGGAGTAAAGAATGACTGGACTTGGAGTGCCTGACACTACTTGAAATAGCAGAAAATGGAGTGATGGTCTCTGATTTCTGGGTCAGGAGGTGATGGTCTTGCAGACACCTAAAACTCATTTACTATTTCCCACCCACATTTGGGAGTAAAACAACAAAGAACACCTGTGATGTGCTTTGCCTCGGGCATTCTTATTTCTATTTACATGCATTTTGTCTGCTTATTTAAATGGAGATTTTAGCAGTTTCCGGAGAACAAAGCATGGCACTTGCCCTAAGGAGTCTGCTCTTGAGGTGGGTCTCAAGCTTCAGCAGCCTGAAGGGCTGGGAAGACACAGATTGCTGGGCCCACTCCCAGACTTACTGATTCACTGGGTCTGGGTGGGGCCCTAGAATTTTTTAACAAGAAGTTCCTAGGTGAGGCAGCTGCTGCTGGTGCAGGGGATTCACACTAGAGGCATGGTACAATTGAGGTGACAGGCGGCCAGTCCCAGCGGGCCAGTCCCAGCGCAGCGCAGCTGCTGAGCTCTGAGCAGGGCATGCTCTCAGTGCTCTGTGAGCACCTGGGAGGGGCAGCTAGTCTAGACCCACCGGTGCAGGTCAGGAAAGGCTTCCCTCCAGAGACTTTGTCAGGACAGAGGCAGCTGGGTAAAACCACGGGGTGTCTGGGAGAGCAGGGTGCAGCTGCAGAACTGAGCAGTTCAGTGTGAGGATGAGAACGTAGGAGGGGACAGGAGGCAGAGTGCCATGGCAACAGGTTCCAGAGATGTCAGGCAAGGGGGAAGTTTAGTCTGAAATGCTGAAGCTCAAGTCAGCTACCCTGGGCTGTGGCCGAGTGATTGAATGCTGAGAGCCAGCTCTTGGGTGGATCACCAGAGCTTTGATGGACTTTGAGAGGAACTTTTAGCTGCTGCTTCAAATTAAGAGGCTTGAGGAACCCTTTGAGGCTACAGTGGATTCAGGGATGTGGATGGGGTTTCTTTCCCACTGTACTAGTTCCTTTAGGTAGTATCACACACGCAAGAGACAGTCCTGTGTAAGAACATCAAATTGAATAGCACCTTCAAACAAAATTCCAAGTCAGTAGTTTCTCGAGTACATGAAACTTTTTAGTACTTGGTTACTGGGATATAAACGTTTATTTTTTTTAGAAAGTAAAGATGGGAGAAAGCCATTATTTCCCTTGTCCTCCCACTTTGAATTAAAAAGAAGAAAAAATCCCACTGCCTTTTTCATTTGAAAATGTGCCGCATTTTCCTTTCTAGTGGCTTATTTATTTATTTACTAACTAATTGCTTNTGAAAATGTGCCGCATTTTCCTTTCTAGTGGCTTATTTATTTATTTACTAACTAATTGCTTTTGTTTTTTTCTGCGTAGTTAAGCTATTCATATAAAATATTTTTACTTTAAAAGAACACTTTCAGGGCCGAGCCTGTGGCGCACTCTGGTGCTGAGAGCGCAGCGATGCTCCCGCCGAGGGTTCGGATCCTATATAGGAATGGCCGGTGCGCTCACTGGGTGAGCGTGGTGCGGGCGGCACCACACCAAGGGTTGTGATCCCCTTACCGGTCACGAAAAAGACAAAAAAAAAAAAAAAAGAAAAGAAAACTTTCAGAGCTTTTTGCTTTTTCTGTAAGTACCCCTTGCTTTTGTACTGATGGTTGTTGAAATAGCTCTGTAGTGTGTGTTCTTTAACTTCTCTTCGTCATGGAATATACTTTAGTTATATGTCTGTCTTTTACCTTTAAATTGCATAACAACTTGTGCCTTTAAGTTAGATACTAACTTCAAATGTACGGTGGTTCTGGAATTTAATTTCTCCCATCCTTTTCTGTGTTGACCTTGATTGCTTAGACTTCCCCACATACTTTGATAAGCGATTCAAAGCACCAGTTAGGACACCTTTCAGTACACCCTCCTTTTCTGCAGCAGAAAATTAAAGATGGGCACCTGCCAGCTTATCAGATCCAGTAGTTTTTCAAAAGTTTTACATAGTCTGAAATTCTTGATTTCTAAGCGAATAGTAACATGGTTAGGATAAGAAACAGAAAACATAAGTGCTGGTTCTGAGTTTTGCAATTACTGTTGCACTAGGAATGGTCTCTGTCTTGGGTCAGAATATCCTGATATCCTTAACTTTCACACTCATGGGGTCCATTCAGTTACACTATGCTGGTAGGGACTGACACTTACATGCACCTGCTTCATGCCATGTACTTCCTTGATCGCTGCATCAATCTTACAAGGCCAGTGGTTAGTATTTTCCCATTTTATAAATGAGGACACCAGGGCTCTGATAGGCAAAGCAGCTTGCCAGGATGGTGAGGTGTGTGTCTGTGAAGCTAGGATTTGAGCCCAGTCTTGTCTGGTTTGAAGGCCACATTCTCTCCAGCCTGGTGCTGCTGTGATGTAGCTTTCAAGGATTAATAGACACTTGGCCATAGGACTGTTTTGGAGACTACAGCCTATTTCCTTGGCTTGCGGTCCTCTGTCCAGTGGGGTGTGTTTCCCCAGGTGGTCTCTGACTTTGGCCATGACT